GAAAACGGGAATGGTATTGTCAATGCAGTAACTATTGATGAGGCAGGATTACAAAAGACGGGCCGAACTATCTCTGATGCCACCAACCCAGCTTTACCACTGGCAAGTCACTTGTTTACACTGGGGTGTCGGATAAAAGAGCCAGTGGGAGATTCCAAGTTGTTCCTGGAATCCTGTGAAGTTTTCCAGTGAGCACTTGCTCATGAACCTTCCTGCTTATGAGAATACTGAGCTTGCTGCCCGCCTTATCATAGGCTGTACACATTCCCCCCTGGTAATGGGCATTTCCAAGTGGTGTCCTTCTCTTCTCCCCCACAACACAGTGTCACAGCCCTGTCTGTACTTGCTTTATACAACCCTGTGTAAAGGATGAATGTCAGGGATGACCTAGAGGTGACCTAAAAATCAAGAGCACAGAATTTTTCTCCCTTATTTATGCCACTGAGTACTCCAATCACTCCCCTCTCCCCAGCAATTCTTGGTGTGGTCTCTTCAGTGAGAATGATAATATATAATACTCAAGCCTAGGGCAGTGCTTACAGAGTTAGACTGGACTATTCTAAATCCATGTGTTTACATAACTTGCATCTTTCTGAGAGTCCTCTTCTTTGAGGCCATCAAGTCTAGTAAATCTCCATCAGTGGATTTATTAATCATACTCCCTTCCCTACCATCTAAATCCAAAGTTGGAAAATTCCAACATAAAAATGATATTCTTGGGCTGGGAAGGTGGCTCAGTGGTAGAATGCTTGCCTTGCATGCATAAGGCCCTGGGTTCCATTCCTCAGCACCACATAAGCAGAAAAAGCTGGAAGTGGCACTGTGGCTCAAGTGGTAGAGTGCTAGCCTTGAGCTGAAGAGCTGAGGGACAGCGCCCAGGCCCAGAGTTCAGGCCCCATAGCCAACAACAAAAAAAAATCTTCTTGGAAGTTACACTGTGCTCACACGTAAGGGAAAATGTGGCTCCATCACACACAATCAAATTACCTCACACAGGAATGGAAGACATTGGCTCTTCTTGTGTTCCTATGACTCGTTTATTAACTGAATAAATATCAACTGTTTGCCATTTTGTAACAAATACCTTAGATTATTACCTGTGGTATTATCAGTCTATGGTAGGTTGACTCATTGCTCCCATTAGGTCCTACTTCTTTTTTTTTTGTTGTTGTTGGTCATGGGGCTTGAACTCTGGGCCTGGGCACTGTCCTTGTGTGCTTCAGCTCAAGGCGAGTACTCTACCGCTTGAGCCACAGCACCACTTCCGGTTTTCTAGCGGTTTATTGGTGATAAGAGTCTCAGGAACTTTCCTGCCCAGGCTGGCTTTGAACCTCGATCCTCAGATCTCAGCCTCCTGAGTAGCTAGGCTTACAGGCGTGAGCCACCGGCGCCCAGCTTAGGTCCTACTTCTTAAAGATTCTATTATCTCCCAGCAAAGCTATCCTCAGGGCATTAAGCCTGCAACACATGGGGCTTTGGGGGAACACATCAAACTACAGCGCTAGTACCTATGCAACTGTGAGTAAGAAGAACACCTGTGCAAGACACTGAAGCTACAATTGTGAGCAAAGAGATGTCATGTTCTCCATTCCCATAGCCTGTAGCCTATTCAGGAATATCGTCCCAGTATAGACAAAACTGAACTGATACAAGTGAGTCTACCTCCTAAAGCTGTGTCATTTAACCTGATAACCTGAAGAACAGAGGTGTTACTGAAGGGCAAGGGTTAAACTATGTACTGCCTCTCATAAAGTTGTAGTTTAAAACATGCAGACCTGACTTCTATTGTGCAAAACGGAATACAAACAATTGCATTTAGGAGGTAGAAATAAAAATTCTGTGTGTTCTCAAGGAGAAAAAAAAAAAGCAGTTGTGGGGGTGGGAGATGGGAAGGGATGGGAAGGGGAAACAAAGGAGGAGGCAACAATGCTTGATGAGAAATGTACTCATTACCTAGCCCATGTAATTGTAACCCCTCTGTATGGTATTTTCACAATAAAAAAAAATAAAAGCAGTGCAGCTCTGATAAGGAAAGTTTCGCAAAGGAAGCAGAAAACCCTGAACATTGTTATGCTTATGATGTGTGGCATAAGTTCCAAATGGGAAAACTGAGTCTCCTGTCTCCTGATCCTTATTCCAGGCAATTCTTGCTCTTTATTTGAATCTCCAGCCTTTAGGACATGAATCTTGGGCCTATCCTAAGAAACATTGGAAGTTACATAAAAGGACAGGGGAAAATGGTGTGTATGGAAAAAACAAAAATAGCAAGTTGCACATGAACTTTTGCCCATTCGTTTTTGTAGTAGTGGGTGCAAAGGAAACGAGATTAGGAAATGGTGTGTCAGACATCATGGAAGATTCCAATTGGGAGAAACAGTGCAATTTACCTTCACACGGTAAAAGGCCCTCTCTGCATAAACATTGGTAAGCTGTTCCTGTGACAATATTAATAAACATGACTCACATAACTTGGTGACTTATATTTCAGAGTTTGGGAAAAGTTTCCTTAAATATGAAAGAGCAACTTGACATAATGGTGTCTGGGGTTATGACTATTCTCATGTGTTGGTGAGATGAAATGTATATCTTACCTTTTCCCTACATAGATGAGGCCAATCAGAATCCACCTTTAACAAACCTTACTGGCTTTCTCTTTATTGACCTTTTCATGATTATGTCCCCAAAGTACATTTTCTCATAATATAGATTTACTTATTCAATATCTAAGTCTTTAGTTCTGACCAGGTAGCAATGTTTTATATTTTTTCAGCAAAATTAAAATGTTTGAGCTGGACACCAGTAACTCTGTAATTACCCTATAATACTAGGTACTTGGGAAGCTGAGAACAGGAGGATCAAGTTTCAGCCTGGACAGCCTGGACAGAAAAGTTCATGAGCTTCCTTCTCAACACATAGCTGAGTACAGTGGAACATGCCTGCCATCCTAAGTTGTGTGGGAGGCTGAAATTGGGAGGATGGTTGTTGCAGGCCAGTCCAAGCAGAGAAGTCCACGAGATGCCATTGGGATTTGAATTCAGAACTTGGGTACTGTCCTTAAAGCTTTTTCATTCAAGGCTGGCACTCTACTGCTTGAGCCATAACTCTTCTTCTGGCTTTTTGCTAGTTAATTTGAAGTGAGAGTCTCACTGACATTCCTGCCCCAGCTAGATTCAACTTCTACCCTCAGATCTCTGTCCCTTGAGTAGCTGGGATTATAGATGTGAGCCACCAGCCCTCAGTTAAAACTTTTGTTCTTATGTTCCATTCCTTCAAGGTTCATACATATTCTATTATTATCAAGATCATAGGTGATACTGGTCCTTTTTCTAGTGATTACCAATGATCAGACATTGTAAAATCTTCCTTGTATGGCTGAATGAGTTGCACACACAAGTTTGAGGTCTCTGAGACCTCAGTTCCCATGTTTACTCAATAGGCTAAGCAGTAAAATAACCCTCATCCAAATACTAGAAACTAATAAAATAAAACCCATGAAGATAGTCTGATAATTTGAGTTAATGTGCTACCTATACTATATTTTCCTATCTATATTTTAGTGGTAATATTTGCCTAGGGGAGCTTCCAGAGAACTCTTCCACAGGGAGGTGTTCAAGACCTTCATGTGGACATATAGTAAGGAGACTTGCTCATGCCTATTAGAACAGTGCCAACTCATAGCTACCTATTTACCTGCCCTGGAGCAAGATAGATTTTTTAAATTAAACTGATACTTAATGAAGGGAATCACAAGAGAACTCTAGGTAAGCCGAAGTATATTTAAATGTTGAGTTCTCTTGAGAATGAGATGCGTCCATGTCAACAATTTCAGGAATCCTACATTGTTCTCTTTTATCATTTCCAGTAGAATATTAATGTCTTTTTCCCACTAGTACCATAATTCCTCACTGAGAGCCAGATCCATCACTTTCAGAGTATATCCACCGTCTCTTCCTCACTATCCACGCAACATAGCTGGAATGACAAAGCTAAGCCAGTCCTTCGGCATCCTCTACATATACAAAGGAAGTAGCCTTCTTGAGGAAATGATTCTTAAAAATTCCATCTAAGGGGCTGGGAAGGTAGCTCTTGCATGCATGAGGCCCTGGGTTCGATTCCTCAGCACATCAGCAGAAAAAGCCAGAAGTGGCGCTGTGCCTCAAGTGGTAGAGTGTTAGCCTTGAGCTGAAATGCTGAGGGACAGAGCCCAGACCCAGAGTTCAGGCCCCATCTAAGTATGTCCTCATAAAACTTAAAAGTCAGACTTACAATTGGGGGAAAACAGCTCGTCATTACCAGGATCAAACAAGTGAACTACTCGGTCTCTTCCTGCCCTCAGACATCCCAGCTCAAGAAAGGGCATAACACTTAGCCAAGCAGCCAGTGTAGGAATAAAGCACTTGCAAACAATATTCCATGTTGGAATTCTGCCTGCTTTTGAAACTCAAGATTCTAGAGATGGCAATAGAAATGGAAGGCTTTGGGGAAACTGGGTAAACCAAATTAATGTTTTCAGGATCAGTCAGAGAAGTGAGCAGAAACTACACATAGAGGCTCTCTCCAGTGTTGCCAGGCAAACTGAAATTCCTTTATGCTGTAATGTCTAGCTCATTCATTTTGAAATTACAGATTTCAACTATTATACTCCCAAACAATGGTACTTTACAAATATTAGTGAGTTTCCCAATTTCTCTCCATTACTGTTGCTAGAGGTAATGATCGCCTTTGTAATTTTTAAGTACTATAATCTCCTTATTTAAAGAGAAAAAAATCACAAAGGTACATTATACCATGAATTTATATGCCTCCTCAGTAGACTGGCACTAAATTCTGGTTAATGTGGGTTGAAATCAGTAGGTTTGACAAGCATGGTTTTCTCATCAAGAACTTAAAAACACTGTGTTCCTTTTAAGGTGCCAAGACAGAAATAAGAAGCCCAAGGTTTTGCATGGCCAAGTGTCCCACCCCACAACCACTGAAAGGAATAAAAAGGCAGTTCCTACCTCGGTGACTGGTGAGCTCTCTGGAAGCAGAAGGCAGAGGTGTGTAGTGGCGGTGCTCTGAAGAGGCAGCAATATCCCCACTAGAAGCCTGCATGATAAAAGTAAATGTTACCATGAAGCCACACCAAACAGTGAAATACCTCTGATTCCCAAATATGTCTGGTTGAGAAATGAGCTCCTTGAGATCCAAGTTTGGAAGCAAGGGTTTTCTTTGTTAGGATGAAATTTCAGTAAGTGCGGAGGAGGGTATGAAGCTTTGAAGGGCCCCAGCCTACGTGGAAAGGCTCTGAGACACGGGAGGGTGTGTTGGGCTCAGTGATGGGAGAGGAAGAAAGGAAAAGAGAGAGGCTGAAGGCAGGAAATGTTGTCTTAGATTTTTGTGGAAGGCCTTCTCCCAGTAATTACCTCAAAGTGCTGGCAACTGAGCAGATTTCTATAGAAACCAGCAAAGAGGCTAAGCTTTGCTCCCAGGGTGGGTGAGGAGAAAAAGGTCTAGATTCTGTGGGCCTACACAGATGGCAGTAGAGGCAAGTAAAAGACTTAAAACTCCACAGCATTAAGTCACCATAGGGATGGATGTAAACTGTCAGTGTGCAACAGGGCTTAACAATAGCACTTAGATACCCATTTAGATTTGGGATAGAGGCTGAGCATCTCTTACCTGAGATGCCTGGGTCCAGAGTATTTTGGATTTCTGCTCCTTTTCAGATTTTTTGGCATATTTTGAGGTATATCATCATCAGATACATAGAAATGGGACTCAAGTTTGAGTATACAATTTATGTTTCCCATAAATATCATCTACAGAGCCCAAAGCTGATTTTTAAACCATATTTTGGTGTTATCTTCATTTTGTCTGTTAACTTATCATACAATGTCAAGTATACTGTTTTCCCTTGGGGGTGTCAAGTTGAAACATTGCCGATTGACAGAGCATGCTAGATTACAGATTTAAAAAAAAATAAGGATAATCTGTTTTTATAATGGTTATCAACAAAACGTTTTCATTCCATGGCCTAAAATAAGTGATATGAAGTGTATGTGGGCTGCTGTGTATATAGGAGTCCTTGTTGTACAAACGAGTCTTTAACCATAGAAGTGCATGTAGACACTGTGTCAAAACCAGCTGGAATGGCCCGACTGTTAATGTTCTCCTCAACCCAAAGTCCTAGTGGGCAAATCAGAACCGAAGCATCACAGCTTTGGGTCTCCAGGTCCACAGTAAGGGGACCAGTGTGTCACACTCAGAAGCATCACCATCATAACTCTTAACTGAGATTCCTAAACTAAAGGCAACTATTTTTTTAATGTTCCCATAAAAGCGCATCTGCTAGGATCAAAATCCTAAGCTTACAACCTTTCCAAACTCCATGCAAAAGTAAAGTTCATTAATGCTATACTTTTTTTCTTTCCGGAATAGGAAATGCCCTCTGTGGGATATATTTACCCTGCTAAAAGCAAGCCTTTTCCCCTAAGAGATTACCTACATTATGGGAATCAAAACTAAGTAGGAGATTAGACATATTTGGTAGGAACACCCTTTAAACTTCATTTCTGACATTTGAGATGTTTGATTAAGCAGCTTTCAGTGGAGAATTATAGAAGGAAGTCTGAATGGGGAGAAATCAGAAGTTCTGTCCCTAGGTAGAAGCAGATTTTAGGGGGCATTTTTTCACTCCAGCTCAAAGGTAAATATAAAGCAAATATATGGTGTTTAAAGCCTGATCCAAATGTATTGGGTGAAAGTTCAGCAAGATGAAAGTTCAGTCCCAAGAAAAATGTTTTTACAGGTAGGTAAGATTTTCTATATACTACATCATTAGGCATTTAGGATGCTGCATGCTGGTGACAGGGATAAACTGAATTAAAATTCAAATGCCAGGCTTTCGAGGTCTACTGTAATCTTGACATGAAGAATGAAATAATGCTAGGTTTTTGTTTTGTTTTGTTTTTTTTCTGTGTTTTTTAATAAATATTTTTAATTGTAAAGATACTGTACAGAGGGATTACAGTTAAATGAGTAAGGTAATGAGTACATTTCCCATCAAGCATTTTTACTTCCGATCCCCTCACTAAGAAGCTGTAAAGTTCATTTTCAACATAGTATCTTGTACATCACATTGTTATAATGGTCAACCTGTATCCTTATTTCAGCATTTTGTTATTTCCCTGTCCCTCCCCAAATTAGAAAAATATATATATATACAAGATGTAGGTCACCAGAATCAAATACAGTAAAAACAGGGGTTATAACATGGGGGAAGAACACACAAAAGAAACAAAAAATCACATAGTACATTATAGGTACATTAAAAACAACAGCAACAAAGATAAAACCTCTTGTGTCCCTATCTTGAGGCTCATTTTGCTTAGCATCATCTTATATGGTCATATGTACATAGCTTTTGACCTTTTCTGCTTGTACTAGACATATACTAGTTATTGCAGATAAGGGAAACCATGGGACCTATGTTTCTTTTGGCCTGGCTTACTTACTTAATATAATTTTTTCCAAGTCTTTCCATTTTCTTTTTGTTTTAATATAGATTATTGGAGTTTTTATTATACAATTAACAGGCTGCAGACAGCCAGTTGTTACAAAGGCCTGCAGCACACAAATACACATAACACAGCTAGGAAACATGCTAAAGAAGAAAGAAATAACAAGAACAATATCAACAAGCCAATTCAGCTCCAATGGAGAGCTGAATTGGGACTCCATGATGACTGGAGACAAACCAGGGGACAGGACACAGGAGAGGATTACAGAGACACACATGGCATGGAGTCCAGTGGCTAGGCTGGTCCAGGCCTAAATAGGTCGGCGCAGGGGGCAGATCCTCAGGAAATTCCCAGTCCCAGGCACTAGACTGGGATTCAGTAACCTATCAGCCAAGTGCCTGCCCCTGCCTCCATGGATCTGGACACACTCATTACCTGGGAGGCAGGTGATGGGGGAGGGTGGGCGGGTTTCCTTCCCCCAGCATGAAGACAAGATGCCAGACCTCATTATGTGGCCAATATGGCACTGGCCAGACCTGACCTCCCTAATTCATTCCATCCTTTTTTTCTTATGCACATGAAATCAAATCATTGATTTTCTGTAAAAGGACCAAATTAAGTCTTTCCATTTTCTAACAAATAGGGCAGTGTCATTCTTTCTGATGGAGGCATAGAATTCTATTTTATATATATGTATATATATATGTACACATATATGTATATATTTTATATATACATACATTATATTTATATATATAATACATACATATATGTGTACATATATATTTATATATATATACATATATATACCACATTTTCTTGACACATTCATCTACTAAGGGGCATCTGGATTGGTTCCATATCTTAGCTATGGTGAATAATGCTACAATAAACATAGTTGTTCTGGTAGCTTTAGTATGGCCTTGTTTGTGATCATTTAGGTAAATGCCCAAAAATGGGATTGCTGGGTCATAGGGGAGCTCTATGTGGAGTCTTTTGAGGAACCTTCATACTGCTTTCCAAAGTGGTTGAACAAGTTTACACTCCCACCAACAATGCAGTAGGGTTCCCTTATGGCCACATCCTCTCCAGCATCTGTTGTTATTAGATTTCCTGATTATAGCCATGTTAACTGGAGTTAGGTGGAATCTCAAAGTTGTTTTGATTTGCATTTCTTTTATGGTTAGAGAAGTTGAACATTTCTTTATGTGTCTATTGGCTATTCTTATTTCCTCCTCAGAGAAGGCTCTCTTTAAGTCTTTAGCCCACTTATTTATTGGGCAGTTGTTTCTTTAAGAACTTGTTGTTGGAAGATTTAATTTTTTGAGTTCCAAGTATATTTTAGATATGAGACCCTTGTCTGTTGTATGGCTAGTGAAGATATTCTCCTAATCCATGGGCTTTCCATTGATCTTGCTAGCTATGTCCTTTGTCGTGCAGAAACTCTGAAGTCTCGTGCAATCCCATTTGTCCGATCTTTCTTTGATTTGTTGTGTTTCTGGGTCTTTATTAAGAAAATTTCAGCTGTGCCAAGAAGCCCTAAAGTTTCTCCTATTCCTGTATTGTTTTCGGGGTGTCTGCTTTGACTTCAAGGTCTTTGATCCATTTGGAGTTGATTCTGGTGCAGGGTGATATATAAGGTGATATATAATTTTCTACAGGTGTTTAGCCAATTTTTCTAACACCATTTACTGAAGAGGCTGTCTTTCTTCCATTCTATTCTTTTAGCTCCCTTATTGAAGATTAGGTGGCTTATAGGTCTGTGGGTTCATTTCTGCATCTTCAGTTCTTTTCCATTGGTCCTCAGGTCTGTTCTTGTGCTATTTTGATTACTATGGCTTTGTAGTAGCATTTGAAGTATGATATTCCTCCAGCACTGTTCTTTCTGCTAAAGATTATTTTTCTGATTCAGGGTCTTTTATTATTTCATATGAATTTTTGGATTGCCTCTTCTATTTCCTTGAAGAATGGGGTTGGAATATTGATAGGTATCACATTGAATTTGTAGATAGCTTTGGGAAGTATTGCCATTTTCATGATGTTAATCCTCCAAATCCAGGAACATGGGAGGTTCTTCTACTTCCTTAGCTCTGTTTTAATTTCCTTTTTCATGTTTTTAAAGTTTTCATCATAGAGGTCTTTCACTTCTTTGGTTAAATTAATTCCTAGATACTTTATTTTTTGTGAGGCTATTACAAATGGAGTTGCTTTCCTGATTTCAGCTGCACTCTTCTCATTGTTGGCATATAGAAAAGCCATTGATTTTTGTTTTTTTGGTCAGTCATGGGGCCTGAACTCTGGGCCTGGGCACTGTCCCTCAGCTCTTCAGCTCAAGGCTAGAGCTCTACCACTTGAGCTACAGTGCCACTTCCAGCTTTTTCTGTTTATATGGTGCTGATGAATCACATCTAGGACCTCACGCATGCAAGAAGAGCAACCTACCACTGAGCCACCTTCCCAGCCCAAAGGCATTGATTTTTGAGGATTTTATACCCTGCTACTTCACCAAAGTTTCAGATCAGCTCAAGTAATTTGGGAGTGGAGTCCACCAATCAAGATTCCAACTATCAAGTCTTTAACTCAGTT